ATGAAGGAACTTGGAACTGGAAAATCCACTGTAGTTGTTCTACATCTTCAAAAGTCAGTAACTAGAGTTTCTCACTTGTGTTGGAGTGGAAGCTGCTGATTAAGGCCTGAATCATTGTCTGACAGACAATAATGGTCTTGCTTCTATAATTCAATCCCTTATGTTCAATCCCATATTAATTTAATAATTGCTTCTACAAGAATGAAAGTTTGTTCAAAAAAACATGAACAGTGCTTATGATATTCCAAAGTTACTTCTTTGATGTATCTTTCCATGGGCTCCACTGAGCTCCTACCATTTTGTGTAGTTACATATTGGATCTTATGTGTTTGAAAATCCCAAGGTACAGGGTCACAAACATATCTGGCTTAACCAGATAAAGATCTGTTCCAGGTGATGGGCTCCAGTAGAATTTTAAGGTTGTAACCTACCTAACCAGTGTATTAAATCAAGCAACCTCAAATGTAACATGTACTACTTGTAAGAAAGTGTACATCTAATCATTGTGCCTCTCTAATTGGTAAGTAGTAAAAGATGTACAGATGTATCTTTACTTTGGAAGAACCACCTAACATGATCAAACTAACCTGGGTTAAATTATTGCACAGAAATGGAGAATTTATGTATGGTGAAGCATCTTCTATCTCTTCCAGTAAGAAAATACTTTGAAAATATTAACTGATATAGATGTTGGCAGATTTGCTTCATAGTTAATGCCACATTTCTCAATAACCCATACAGAAAATAAATAAAAGAAACCACCTCTTTCAATTCTTCTGCTACTTCAGATAGTTATGTATGTGATCCTGCATCCAAGGCCTTTATAACACAGAAGATCCAAATGCATACAGATCCCAGTGAGAAGCTGGTATGGACCAGAGTGGAATGGCTGCTGGCAGGTCCAGCCATGGCACAGTTGGGCTTACAGGCCCCAGCCAAAGACCTTCCTGAAAATGAGCTGGACAGAAGCACAAGCAACAGCCAGAAGCCTGCCACAATACCATTGGTAAGGGCAGTTAGACCATAGCCAGAAGTCTCCCAAGACACAAATGACTAGGGAGCTCAGCCAACAGCCAAAGGTTCTCCCAGAGAACAGCTACATAGGAGGGCAGGCCCTAGCCAGAGGCATATCTAGATATAATCCCAAGTGTGCAAAAACCCCAGCCAGAACTCTGAACTGACAACAGATGTCACAGGGATTCATAGTGCCACTACTCTGAACTCAGGAATTGGTCCAGTGGTGAGCAGCAGAGAAAAGTCTGCTTGGTGG